CAAATAATAACACTGAATATAAATCCAGGGGTGGGAAAGACACTGTGACTTGGAGATTTAATCTCAAAACCTATTTTGTACCCATTTCACCCATCTGTTTGAGATTTAGGTAAACCTGTCAGAAGCAGTGGGCCTGGGAGTTACTGAGGTCAGTTATACCAGAAACAGAAAAAGGGGTTGAAGTACAGTCCTGCAAATGTGCTTTATTTAGGCAGTACTGTGCTGTAACCATTTTGAATGTGAATGGTTTTAGCTAGGGCACTAGTCAGTCTCCAGTTCACCATGACATTCCCTATTATCATATGCCTGTCTGCTTGATGAATTTACATCATCGGTCTGGACCCAGGAGACATTTGAGTTTGCAATCTCCAGTATGTCTTATATGCATATGTATGCCATTGTTTCTGCTCTTTAGAAGGTGTTTACAATCAAAGGAATTCAATCCACAGGTCAGAACCCTTTAGATATGAGCACTCTCTATTCACCACAAACCATGTTAATTGCCCACATTACATGTCCATGATGACCCCATGAGGTAGCTATTGTTATTATCTATCTTCATTTATTGGATGAGGCAACTGAGACTTAAAAGCATAAATTACTTGCCCAAGGTCACACAAGTAAAGATGAACACAGGATTTGGGAATGACAGACGCAGGATTGGAACCCACATTTTCTCTCCATCAAAACATTTAATCACATGACACAGAGCTCCAGACAGGAATTGTTAAAGGTCCTATATCCTGGACCCATAGATTTCCCTCCTTCCTTTTGCAACACTCCTCCAAAGACCACAAGTATCTTTAAGCAGCCTAGACTTCATGATTAAAATGCTCCTTTGTGAATACCCTTGGCTCCCTGACCTTTTCACCTTCCATTACACCCTCTTGGTAAAGTGCAATTGTTCATCTGAGGAAAACACCTATTCTCTTCTCTCTTCCCTATACCGTCAACCTCTCCTTCTTTATTAGATATACCCCTTTGGATATGGACAAAGACCACTGGTACACTGGATTCCTCTAGCTCTCACCTGTGTTTTGCTTCTTCACAATCCTTCACAACCAGGCTTCTGTGAAAAGTAGCCTATCTTGATTGCCTCCACTTCCTAACTTCCCACTTACTCTTCAGCCTCTGGCAACCTAACTTCTGACTCCGCTACTCCACTGAAATCTACATTACTAATGACCTTCTAGTTGCTGGATGAAATGGATGTTTTTCAGTGCATCGTCTTTACTATTCAACACCGTTGAATACTTTCCTCTCAAAATGTTCTCTTCCCTTGGCTTCCATGGCATAACATTCCCTTTTCTCTCTCAGACCTCTCTGGCTGCTTCCTTCAACTTCTTTTGCAGCCCCTCTTCCACCTCCCACCATCAGTGTTAGGATTTCAACCTCGGTGCTCGTGAGTGACTTGGTCACTTTCTGGAAAAAACTTCATGATGACTCCCAAGCCTATATTTCCACCATAACTTACTCCTAAACCTTATCCAGCTACTTCTGAAGTCCCACAAGCAATTGAAATTTAACATGTCCCCAACTCCTTATTTCCTCCTTTTCCCCACTCCCATCTATTCTACCTGTCCAGGTGAATACCTGCACCCAATCTTGAGTCATCTCTTCCTTGCTAGGTGAAAAAGCCCTGAAGTCTATATAATAAATACCTGGTTCTCTCTTCTTCTCCATTCCTGATATTGCAGCACCTGTTCATACTCAAATCTTCTTCTGTTTTTTTTTCTTTTCTTATTGTGGTACAGTTTATATACAGTATAATTCACTCTTTTAAGTGTATAGATAGTTCTATGAGTTTTGACAAATGCATATAGTTATGTTACCACAACCACAATCTAAATATGCAACAGTTCCATCGCCCCCCCCAAAACTCTCCCGTGTTCATCTGCAGTCAACCCCTTTTCCTATCCTCAGCACCTGGAAACCACTGATCTCTTTTCTAGCCTTAGTTTTTCTTTTTCTAGAATGTCATATATATATATATATATATATATATATATATATATATAAAATTATATATGACATTATATAGTATATATTATGTAGTCATATATGACATTATATATTATATATTAATTATATATGATATAATTAATTATAATTATATTTATATTATATATTTATATATTATATTTACATTATATATAATATAATAATAATATATAATTATATAATATAAGTAATGATTATATATTATATATTATATATAAACTAGATATATATTATATATATATAATTCCATATATGTATATGGAATTAGAAAGTACGCAACCTTGAGTCTGGTTATCTTTCACTTATAATAAATGTGAGACTTAACCATGTTGTCGTAGGCATCTGTAATTCATTCCTTTTTATAGCATAGATATATCAGTTTGTTTATCTATTTACCAGCTGAAGAACATTTACTTTGTTTCCAGTTTTTGGCAATTGTGAATAAAACCACTGTAAATATTCATGCTTAGGTTTCTATGTGAACATAGTTTTCATTTCACTTGGGTTAATAACTCAGAGTGGGATTGTTGGGTGATATGGTAAGTACATGTATAACTTTATAAGAAATTACAAACCTATTTTCCAAAGTGGCTGGTTCCTCTTGTTTTCTCACCAGTGATGTTTGAAAGTTCTAGATGCTCTTCATCCATGTCAGCACTTAGTATTATCAGTTTTATTTTCTTATTTTTCACCATTCTAAGAGATGTGTAGTGGTATCTCATTGTGGTTTTAATTTCATTTCATTAATGATAAATGATATTGAGCATATTTTTCATGTGCTTATTTGCCATCCATAGATCCTCTTTGGTGAAGTGTTTGTTCAAATCTTTGCACCCTCCCTTCACCTTAAACAAATGAATTGTTTGTTTTTCTATTATTAGGTTTTAAGAGTTTGTATATATTCTGGATGCAAGTCCTTTTATCAAGATACGCGTCTTGCAAAAGTTTTCTCCCAATCTTTAGTTAGTTTTTTGTTTTCTTAAGAGTCTTTAGGCTGGGTGCAGTGGTTCATGGCTGTAATCCCAGCACTTTGGGAGGCTGAGGTGGGTGGATTGCTTGACCTCAGGAGTTCAAGACCAGCCTGGGCAAGATGATGAAACTCTGTCTCTACAAAAAATACAAAAATTAGCTGAGTGTGATGGCGCACGTCTATAAGCCCAGCTACTTGTGGGGCCAAGGCAGGAGAATCACTTGAGCCCAGGAAGTTGAGGCTACAGTGAGCCATGTTCATGCCACTGTACTCCATCCTGGGCGACAGAGCAAGACCTTGTCAAGAAAGAAAGGAAGAAAGGAAGAAAGGAAGAAAGGAAGAAAGAAAGGAAGGAAGGAAGGAAGGAAGAGGGGTGTCTTTAATAAACTTTTTATTTTGTAAAAAATAATACAGAGAGAACTTGTATACCCATCTCCCAGTTTTCCCCAGTGGTAACATCTTGCATAACTATAGTACAATATCAAAATCATGGAATTGACATTGATACAGTCCAACAATCTCATTCAATTTTATTTGATTTTTGCCAGTTTTACACGTGCTTATTTGAACGTGTGTGTAATTTGTTCTATGCAATGCTATCACGTGTATAGATTTCTGTGGCCACCATCACAGTCAAGACACAGAACAGCCCATCACAAGGATTTCTTTTATAACCCTGCACACCTCCCTGTCAACCAGTAATTTCTCTCCATCTCTACAATTTTGTCATTTCATGAATGGTATACAAATAGAACCATACAGTATTTAACTTTTGAGTCTGGCTTCTTTCATGAAACATAATTCCCTGAAAATTCATCCAATTTGTTACACGTATCAACACTTCCTTCCTTCTTAATCGCTGAATGGTATTCCAGTTTTTTTAAACCATCAGCTGAAGAACATCTGGGTTTTTCCAGTTTGGGGCTATTACAAATAAAGGTGCTAAAACTATAAACACATATATGCAGGTTTTTGTGTGAACACACGTTTTCATTCATCTGAGATAAATGCCCTAGAGTGCAACTACTGTGTCTTAGAGTAGTTGCACCCTTAGTTTTGTAACAAACTGTCAAACTATTTTCCAGAGTGTCTGTACCTTTAAACAGTGTATGTTTTACATTATACATTCCTACCAGTAAAGTGCAACTGATTCAGTTTCTCCACATCTTTGCCAGCATCCGGTGTTGCCACTTTTTTTTTTTTTTTTTTCCATTCTGATAGATGAATAGTGACGCCTCATTGTGGTTTTAATTTATATTTTCCACGTGGATAATAATGTTGACTATCTTTTCATGTGCTAACAGTGTTTGAAGAGCTCATCCTTTCTTGCCGTGACCGTTGTGTGGGAAACAGTCCCTTTCATCCAGTTTTATCCTTTTCCAAAACAGAGCTAGCCCTACTTCTAATTCCATCATAGCACAGCTTGTATTCCTTGGTTTTGGTTTCCTGTTGAAAATCTGTCTCCTTGTCACTTGAGAGACCTTGTGAAGGAAAAAAAAAAAAAAAAGAAAAATCTGTCTCCTTCTTCAGACTGTGATCACCAAGTAAGCCGGAACAGTTTTGCAATCTCGGCTCACTGCAGCTTCGACCTCCTGGGCTCAAGTTATCCTCCTGCCTCAACCTCCCAGGCGCGCCACCACGCCTGGCTAACTTTTGTATTTTTTATGGAGACGGGATCTCACTATGCTGCCCAGGCTCGTCTCAAATTCCTGGGCTCCAAGCCATGGTCCCACCTCGACTTCCCCAAAACTGCTGGGATTACAAGCCTGAGCCAACCACACCTGGCCCATGTATTTTTTTTTTTAAGGCAAGGGCATGGAGAATAAAATGGGTGAATGAGCGGGGCGGGGCAAAGCATGGTGGTTGTTACCCTTTAACCACGCTGTCCAGGCCGGGTCTGGTGCAAAACCCAGAGCCCAGACACTCGCTCCTGCGCATGCGCGGCGCTCTCCCCTCACCCCCCTCGCCCACCCCGCCCTAGCCCCACCGCAGCCCCGCCCCTTAGTAGCTTCCTTTGGGTCGCGACCAATTAGAGGGAGGAGGCGGGATCCTGGCTGCCACGGTGCTCACTGGCTAGTGTCCCTAGCTACTGTTGCTAAGACTGTGGGTCGCTGGAGGTGGTGGGAGTTAGTTTTGGCAACCAGGGCCTGAGAGAGGTCAAGGGTCATTGCAGAGCCAGGGAGGAGATGGTGAAGCAGACGATCCAGATATTCGCAAGAGTGAAGCCCCCTGTCCGGAAGCACCAACAAGGGGTACGGACTGGAGCCTCCGGGGCGCCGGCGCGGCGGGGCCTCCTGGGCTGGGGTCGGGCGGCAAGCGAAGGGGCTGGGCGGAGGTGAGGGGCTTGCTGGCGGGCGCCGAGGCCGCCCGGAATCTCGCACACACTGTCCGAGGAGCCCTGCAGCCGCGAAGACCGTCGCACACTGCTGTCCTGCTGTCAGCGACGCGACTGACAGCTAGGCCACTCCCACCTGGCACGGCGCAGACCCGGCACAGAGCCATATTTTTTTGCAGCCAGGCACACGTGTTCACGCGGAGGCAGACTGGTGCATGTTCAGTATGCCTGTATAGCGTGCGCTTCAACTACACGTAAGCACTTACAGCACCTTTCTGGGAAACTCACGCAGCACCGCACATGCAGATACACTCAAAGGTACGTTTTGGCACTCGGGCAAAACGTGCAAGGAAGAGATGCATGTTTATGTACCTCTGAAATAATACAAATATAGATAGACACAAATGCACAAAGCATACACATATGTAGTACTTTGCACCCAGTGGGGCCTCAGTAACTTTTTGACTCTGTTGTTATTCTCCAACATAAACGTGAACCTTTACATATACTCCTTGTATTAATAGATTTAGGTAGATGCTTTAGCATCCCGACCCGAAGAATACGCATGTGTACTTCATTCAGAAACAAATATTTACTAGGTGCTTCCTCTAGTGTGCTAAATTCAGAAAGGTATAAAAAAGGTTAAGACATTGTCCTGACTCTGAGCAATGATACTTTGTATGCTTCTTTTTTTTTTTTTTTTCCTGAGATGGAGTCTTGCTCTGTCACCCAGGCTGGAGTGCAGTGGTGCATCTCGTCTTTGGCTCTCTGCAAGCTCCGCCTCCCGGATTCTCGCCATTCTCCTGCCTCAGCCTCTCGAGTAGCTGGGACTACAGGTGCCCGCCACCACGCCCAGCTAATTTTTTGTATTTTTAGTAGAGACGGGGTTTCACCGTGTTAGCGAGGATGGTCTCGATCTCCTGATCTCGGGATCCGCCCGCCTCGGCCTCCCAAAGTGCTGGGATTACAGGCGTGAGCCACCGCGCCCGGCACTTTGTATGCTTCTTAAATGTTTCAAAACATCCTCTCTTCTGCCTAGAAGGGAGCGTAGTCATTCTTATGTATCTTGAGAAATGGCCACCTGACAGGTGCTTTACCTGCATTATCTCTCATTCTCAAAAGAACCCTGCAAGGTTGGTGTCATTTTCCTCATTTTACAGATTAGGAAACTGAGTTTTAGGATAAATAATGTGACCAAGGTACCCAGCTGGGGAGTGGCAGAGCTGTAATTTTTTTTTCAATTTTAGAGCATTTGTTTTATTTTTTAAAATTTGTTATACTTTTAAGTCCTAGGGTACATGTGCAGAACGTGCAGGTTTGTTACATAGGTATAGATGTGCCATGTTGGTTTGCTGCACCCATCAATCTGTTATCTACTTTAGGTATTTCTCCTAATGTTATCCCTCCCCTAGCCCCTGACCCAGCAACAGGCCCCAGTGTGTGATGTTCCCCTCCCTGTGTGCATGCGTTCTCATTGTTCAACTCCCACTTATGAGTGAGAACACGTGGTGTTTGGTTTTCTGTTCTTGTTTTAGTTCGCTGAGAATGATGGTTTCCAGCTTCATCTGTGTCCCTACAAATGACATGAACTCATCTTTTTTTATGGCTGCATAGTATTCCATAGTGTATATGTGCCACATTACTCTATCATTGATGGACATTTGGGTTGGTTCCATATCTTTGCTATTGTGAACAGCAGAGCTGTAATTTTAACTAAGGATTTTTGATTTCAAAGCTGTCCCCTTTTCTTTTTTGCCCCCCAAAGTGAAAATTTAGGCAATGGCAATTTGGATCATATTTGTGAATATATGGAGTGAACATATTAATCATGTTGTATTTCTGTTCCATATATATACTGTGTATATGTCTATGTGGAACATCATAGCATCTCATGATTAACCATTTGCCTCATATAATTTATGTATTTAGAACAGGAATAAAACAATGTAGAAAGAACCATGGGTATCTTCCCATTTTCTCTCCTCTAACTAGTAATCACTTACATGCATTTCTTTTTAGAGTGCATCATATGTAAAGAGTGTATTATATGTAACATTTCCCCCCAGATTCTTAGCTTAAACTGTTGAGCTTATCTACCTGGACTCAGCAGTCAGAGCTGAGGCTGGGATAAGGTCAAGAGACAGGATGGATAGGGGCAGGGATCAGGGAAGTGGATGGAGAGTCTTATATTTAATATTGAAATTTCTTTTCTCTTAAAATGCAGCGTTTGGATATTTTAATGTACCTCATTTTGTATTTCTTTGGTGAGTCTGTAGAGCGGATTGGTTGATCCTCCAGGAAGTAGTTTTAGGTGTCATATTCTTGGTGTCACATTTTTAGGTGTCCCCCCCACACACAAAGAGAATTGGAATGAATAAATATTGAACTAGTATATCACTATTTTCCCTTAAAAACCCCACATTGTAATGCCGTATCTTCTTTTCCACAAAAGATTGTAGAGTTCTTTCTCTGATTAGAAATGCTTTTTGTAGTATTAAATTGAGAGTGACTCAAAGGTATTTTTTTTCTCTTCATTTTATAGCTTCATTACTTTTATTCTTTTATTAAAGAATAATAGTACTTGTATTACTTTTATTCTTTAAGGCATCATAAAGTAAATTATAATAACAGATTAATAAAAAGGATATATAAAATGAATCTCTGCTAGTTTTAACAGTGGCAATGCTTTTCATTTGTACAGTGCTTTATACATTTCAAAACATTTTCATATTCATCCTTGCATTTGTTCTGTCTTCTAAAAAAAACTTCCCTGTCTCAAATAATATTTTTATGACTAAGGATAGAAAGCCAATATTACACTAAACAAGTGACCTGGTTCTAAGGGACTTTTCTTAAGGCCTCAAAGAGTGTCTTAATTAGAGTAGTGGAGGGTCATTAACTGCAGTTAATATTCTTTTCTGTCTGCTGAGCAGAGAAATATAGAATTTTAAAAAATGGGTGTAACTCCTCACTCTTGTATGTTTCATGTCTTATACACCCCCTTCACTCACCTGTCTGGCTATAAAACTTTTTTTTTTAAATGTAGTGCCCAACAGGATATACTTTTTAAATCTCTCTTGAGAAAACCTAGCCAGAAAGCCTTGAACCTGATGCCATTGCGTTCTACAAATACTTTATTTTATGTAATGACTTTTCTGCATGAGTTCTTCACATTTTAAATGAGAAGTTTCAATAAAAATATGCTTAGAAAATTATTCAAACTTTCTGGAGATTTAGGTAGGCTTTTACTTGCTTAGGAATATGACTTTTTCCCCATAACCAAGCATCCTGTTTAAGCATGGATCTTAAACAGGAAGTATTGCCTGTTAGAAAGAATTTTATTTCCTGGTAAAAGACAAGAAGTTGTTGTTGTTTTTTTTAATCTAATGACTTTTTTTTTTTCCAATGGTGCATTACAAAATACTTCCATTTCCATTACATCACTTGATCCCCACAGCAATCTTGTAAAGGAGGTAATTCTGTTTTCCTCATTTTATGTATAAGGAACCTCAATTCTGAAAGTGGTAGCTGGTCACACAGCTGGTAAATTGAACTCAGTGTTGGACCCAAGTCTTGGGACAACAAATCTTATGCTTTTATTTATTCTACATGACCTCTTTATAGGCTTGACTCTTAATTTTCCTGGCCAATAAATGATGGAGTAGGAAACCAGGAAGAGAATCAGAGAATTTTACAGTCCTAAGGATGTTGGTTAAGACCCTGTATTTCCATATCAGCTTAGAAAGGCTAAAGGATTTCTCCCAGGTCACTTGCTAATTAGTGGCTGAGCTGGAATGAGAACCTTGAAAATGACATCAAATACATGAATTACATGTGTCTTTTGAAGCCACATCTCTCTTATCAAATGCCTGAAAATGTCTCATGGAACCTCAGGCTTCTTTGAACATAACTTGAATTAGAGCATTCTTGGTGAGCTATCTGAGATGGCTCCAAACCTAGTCCTTTTATCTCTGGTATTTTGTAAATGCTCAGAAATGCTTATTGATTGTAGTAAAATGTTAACTCCTGATACATAATACTAAAGCAATACTTAGATAAAATGTTGTTTTCAGGGCTATTAGTTTCTCAATGACAATAAAAACAGAGATATTCAAATGTGCATATTTGAATGTTAGATCATTCAAAGATGATCTGACTTTGATATAGCATTAATTTAGGTTTTACTTCTGGTTCAGTTCCATATATTTGTCTGAATCTACACACAGTTCAAAGAGAAAAATTATTCAAATTACATGATATTATGACTTTTTAATCTTAAGACTATAATTTTCATATCGTTACAAGTCATAATAACATGGTCATAGTTCAAGCCATAATTTCACCATTTTATATCCATTTGTTGTCTTCACATTTGCAGATTTATTCCATAGATGAAGATGAAAAATTAATACCTAGCTTGGAAATTATCTTACCACGTGATTTGGCAGATGGGTTTGTGAATAATAAGCGAGAAAGCTACAAATTTAAGTAAGTTTTTCTTTCTCCCTTTTCATTTCCATTTCATTATTGAACTACTGTACTATATTAATATTCATTGTGAAATAATTAGCACCATTTCTTGTGGAAAATGTAATGCAACTCTTTGTCTCACCTAGTAGATTGAACTCAAGTTGTCTTTTTACTGCTGTGCCCAAGGTAAAAAACAATGTGTATTTCTTTTTTTCTTTTTCTTTTTTTTTTCTTTTGAGACAGAATCTCGCTTTGTCTCCAGGCTTGAGTGTAGTGGTGCGATCTCAGCTTACTGCAACCTCTGCCTCCTGGGTTCAAGCGATTTTCCTGCCTCAGCCTTCTGAGTAGCTGGGATTACGGGCACACGCCACCACGCCTGGCTAATTTTTGTATTGTTGGTAGAGACGGGGTTTCACCATGTTGGCTAGGATGGTCTCGATCTCTTGACTTCGTGATCCACCTGCCTTGGCCTCCCAAAATGCTGGGATTACAGGTGTGAGCCACTGCGCCCAGCCAATAATGTGTATTTCTATATCTGAGATTGTATTCCAAGATTCCAGACTTTCTTTACTACCTCTGTTTATCTAGTATTTTCCTACTCAACCCACTATGGTTTAGCACTTACAGAAAGTTCCAATGCATGATTAAACTTCACTGAAGGTAAGAACTTACAGTATCATTTGTGTGCTGTGTAGGTAAGCCTTCTTTATAATATACATGATATTTAGACCTCATATGCACATATGTATACTGTATATCTGTGCTGTCCAATATAATAGCCACAAACCACGTGTGGTTCTTGAACACTTGAAGTATAAAACATATGAAGGGGCCGGGCACGGTGGCTCATGCCTGTAATCCCAGCACTTTGGGAGGCTGAGGCAGGCAGATCACCTGAGGTCAGGAGCTCGAGACCAGCCTCAACATGGAGAAACTCTGTCTCTACTAAAAATACAAAATTAGCCAGGCATGGTGGTGCATGCCTGTAATCCCAGCTACTCGGGAGGCTGAGGCAAGAGAATTGCTTGAACCCAGGAGGGAGAGGTTGTGGTGAGCCGAGATCGCTCCATTGCACTCCAGCCTGGGCAACAAGAGCAGAACTCCATCTCAAAAAAAAAAAAAAAAAAAAAAAAAAAAGGATTTTGGAAGACTTAGCCTGAAGAAAAAAGAATGTAAAATATCTCAAGACTTTTTTCATATTGATTATTTACTGAAATTGTAACATTTTGGTACATGAAACTCCCAACTTTGGTTAAAAGTATATTATTAAAATTAATTTCAGCCGTTTCTTTTAGTTTCTTAAAGTTTTATTAATTTTATTTTAAATTTAAAGAAGGGGTCCTGCTCTGTCTCCCAGGCTGGAGGGCAGTGGTGGACTCATAGTTCACTGTGGCCTTGAACTGCTGGGCTCCAGTGATTCTCCCACCTTAGCCTCCTGAATAGCTGGAACTGCAGGCATGCACCCCCATGCCCAACTAACCTTCTTGCTTTTTAAAAAATGTGGCTAGTAGAAAATTTTAAATTACATATGCTCTCACGCTGATGAATGCCATTATATTTCTCTTGGGCAGTGCTGAAATATACTGGCTCATTTGAAAAATACCAAACAGCTACCCTTGGATGGTCATCAGTGCCTTTGGTCTGAATATTCCTTTAGTAGCTAGGTCTTGAATTTAGGGATTCTAGCTATTTCACATTCTCTTTATTCTCCATTTTCAGATTAATCTATTTCTTTTAATCTCCACTTTTGATTTCTGGAGAAGTTTGAGCCCAAATTAAATCCATCTTTGATCTCTGGCCCAAACTTTGGTGATGGATTTCTGGATCCTGCTGAAAGAATCCTAATTGTTCTCTTCAATGTATCTTTAGACTGTTTCTCAAAGGCCTTGTTTTGAGACTATTCCTGCCTTTCCCCTTTTGGATAAAACTATCCCAGATTTTTTTGTTGTTGTTCCTCTCTCTTTCTCTTTTTTTAATTTAAAATTCTTTTGTTTTTTTTTTGAAACAGAGTCTTGCTCTGTTGCCCAGGCTGGAGTGCCATGGCACCATCTTGGCTCCCTGCATCCTCCGCCTCCCGGGTTCAAGCAATTCTCCTGCCTCAGCCTCCCAAGTAACGGGGATTACAGGCGCCTGCCACCATGCCCAGCTAATTTTTGTATTTTTAGTAGAGACAGGGTTTCGCCAGGTGGACCAGCCTGGTCTTGAACTTCTGATCTCAAGTGATCCACCTGTCTCAGCCTCTCCAAGTGCTGGGATTACAGGCATGAGCCACCGCATCCGGCCTTTTTCTTTTTAAATTCTTATTTGCTTTTTTTGTTGTCTCATAAAGAATTCTCCTTGGTCTTCATAACTCTACTTTTTGTCTTTCATATATAATATACATCTCTCCTTCCACTTCCATCTCATTTTCTTATTGTGTCTTCTTTTACGTTAAGTACAAGTAGGGCTCGCTAATTTGTTGTTACCTAGTGGGGCGGTCCTCACCTTGTCTTTGTGTCTCCCCATTGTCTTTCATTATATCCTTTAAGGAACAGCCCTATAACCTCTGCTTTTCTTCTTCTTTCTTTCTTTTTTGTTTTGTTTTTGAGACAGGGTTTCACTCTGTCACCCAGGCTGGAGTGGAGTAGTACAATCTCATTTCACTGCAGCTCTGACCTTCAGGGCTCAGGTGATTCTCCCACCTCAACCTGTAGTGAGACTACAGGTGTATACCACCACATCTAGCTAATTTTTTTTTTTGGTGGAGACTGGGTTTTACCATGTTGCCCAGGCTGGTCTTGAACTCCTGGGCTCAAGCGTTCTGACCCTCCTTGGCCTACCAAAGTGCTGGGATTACAGGCGTGAGACACCGCGCCTCGCCCCTGCTTTGCTTTTTCTGAAGAGGACATTCTCCCACTGATGTAAGCATGCTACATACCTTCACAATTGTGACTTGTTACCAGCTGGCCTAGGCCAAAATCTATTACATAAAACAACAGTTTGCTGAAAGATTTTATTCAGCTTGATTCCATTTTATTGATAAGAACAGTTTACTATGTCTCTATGGACCCTTTCCAAAGTATTCTTTTTTTTTTTTGAGATGGAGTCTCACTGTATCACCCAGGCTGGAGTGCAGTGGCGCGATCTTGGCTCACTGCAACCTCTGCTTCCCAGGTTCAAGCAATTCTCCTGCCTCAGCCTCCTGAGTCGGTGGGACTACAGGCATGCACACCACACCCAGCTAATGTTGTTTACATTTTTAGTAGAGCCAGGGGTTCACTACCTTGGCCAGGCTGGTCTCGAACTCCTGACCTCACGTGATCCGCCTGCGTCGGCCTCCCAAAATGTTGGGATTACAGACGTAAGCCACTGCACCTGGCCACAAAGTATTCTTTAAATTACATAGATACAAACAGAGTAAAATTGTTGAAGAAGCACCATTGGCTTATTTTTAAATCTCTGAATTGAAAATATTGGTTTTAATATTCAAAATTAAAAATTAATAAAATATTCAACTTACACATATGTTCAGAGATAAATATTTAAGCATTTTAAAGGCTGTTTTCCCCCAAGAACATTTATTCAACCAATCAATATTTATTGGCTACCCACTGTGAGCTGTTTTAATCACTAGGAATACGGCAGGGAACACAGCAAAGCTCCTGCACTTAGGGAGCTTACATTTTAGTGGGAGGAGACAGAGGAGAAGATCAGTAAGCAACATGTACATCAGAAGGTGCTACGTGCCATGGAGAAAAGTGTGACAAAGAAGGGGAATGAGGAATGCTGGGATGAAGGAGAGGAATGGTTGCAACATTTAGTAGGTCAGGGAAGGCGTACAGTAAAGGAACATTTTAGCAAAGACTTGATGGAGGTGAGGAAGCCAGCCATTCAAGTATCTAAGGGATGAGACTTTCAGGCCAAGGGAATAGCAAGAGTGAAATCCCTAATGGGGAGAATGTCCGGCATGTTTGAGAAAATGTGATCTATGTGGCTGGAGTAGGGTAAGCAAGAGGTAGGGGGGAGTAAGCAAGAGGTAGAGGGGAGTAAGCATGAGTAGAGTAAGCATGAGGAGTAGAGTAAGCATGAGGCAGCAGAATGGCCAGATCACATAGAGCCCTATAAGTCATTGTGAGGACTCGAACTTTTCCCCAAAGTGCCATGAGAAGGCAATGGAGGGCTTTGAGCAGAAGAATGAAATTATCTCACTTATGTTTTAGCAGGATCCCTCTTATTGACATGGCTGGAAGTTAGCAGGATCCCTCTTATTGACATGTGGAAAGCAGGCTGGAAGGGGGAAAAGGAGACTAGTTAGGCTATTGCAAGAGAGACCAGGCAAGAAATTATGGTAGCGTGGACCAAGGTGGTAACAGAAATAATTGAATTCTGGATGTATTGTGAAGGTCTCAGCTGACAGTCTGCGGATGGATTGGACATAGAGTGTAGTAGAAACAGAGGAGTCAAGCAGATCCTAATGGTTTTGGACTGAACATTTAGAGGGGTAGAGCTGTTTTCCGGGATGAGGAAGAGCACAGGAAGTGCACCATTCTTTAGGGTGGGAAGAAGTCAGCATATGCTGAGTTTGAAATGGAGTTTAGAAAAAGCCTTCTCAAGTTCCTAACAAATGAAAGGACCTCCGAAGAATCAGGAAACTTAAGTTATGTCACAAGGCATATTATTGATGAGCTCTAAGACTCTGAGTAATTACTTTATCTCTGTGGATCTCGACTTCTTCCTCTGTTAATCGTTAGACTGAACGCGTTAAAATCCCTTCTAACTCTGTGGTTCTGTTGTGCTCTTCAGTAGTTTTCAGAAGACAGCTGATCAAAATGCCTTTTCAGATTACTATGCAACTACATTGTATAAAATGCAATATTTTGGGATGATGACATTTGATGTTTAATATATAATTAATGGTTTATTGTAAACTTGGGTGCTAACATCGTTCTCTAAAATGTATGGGGAAAAGTCAATAAAAAGAGAGATCTGGATTGCTTGTGTTTCTACCACCTGTTATTTTAAATAGTGGAGGATGTCATTTTTCCCCAAGGAATTCAATATGCTTTATAGATATTATACTAAAATTACATTTTAGTTTAATTTAAATCTTGTTAGAAGTGACTGGTACATGGTAGGCCCTCAGTATGTGTTTGTGGAATGAATAGATGAATTAGAAATGAAAATGCTATCTCATTACTTTTACACAAGGTACCTTTCAGAAGATATTCTGTGTGTGATTCACTGCCTTCTTTAAAACTTCTGCCATCTCTTTTATTTACATGGTAGTAGATATAATTACTCTTTTTTTAAGGAAATGGGGTAGACAATGGCTAATTGATTCACCCAGTCATCACCCATTTGATAAAAGAAGTGAACCAGCCTTATCATAATTCTCAAAAGCTGAGAATATGTGCTCAGACCTCATACTACACAGTGCTCTGAAGAGCAATTCAGCAGCTATGTGTTATGTTGACCTCTGTGTTATGTTGGTGTTCATATCTGAAGCTGTGATACATCTGTAGAGTTCTGAGAAGCAGTCTGGACACACTAAACAGTAAATATTACTGTCTAAAACATAATCTTCCCTGCTAAATGACATACTAGCCAGAGTGCCTTAGATTATCTCTTTGTATCTTTCATTGTTTGCTTCTCTAAAATGGAGGCAAGTCAGCTGTCTCTACTAAACTCTGTCTCTACTAAAAATACAAAAATTAGCCAGGTGTGGTGGCGCGCCTGTAATCTCAGCTACTCGGGAGGCTGAGGCAGGAGAATCGCTTGAACCTGGGAGGCGGAGGTTGCAGTGAGCCCAGATCACGCCACTGCACTCCAGCCTGGGTGACAGAGTGAGACTCCATCTCAAAAACAAAACAAAACAAAACAAAAAAAAACAACATAGATTCTGTGTCTTCTACCCCAAGTGTTCCACTGTGCTTGTAATCCAGTACTAAGCTAAGTCAGAGTAGCATTGCAAGAAGAGTGAAATTGACACCATACCTCCACCCCCTTCCCCTAAGCCATTGCCAATCTGATTAAACCCTCTCTTTGCAGGACAGGTCTATCGTAATTTACTTTTTGACTTTTGACTCATGGTCAACAAAATGAAACAAAACCATGCTGAGAATTAAATGGTTGATGCTAGGATATAGCACCAAATTAGTGGAAAAATAAACTTTAGTTCAAAATACTAAAGCTAAGTTCAATAGTCATACAATTCACAGTTGCGTTCTTTTCCCCCAGGTCAGACAGCAGAAGTTCCTTGGCTGTTTATATCCTGTTCTTGGATTTCCATTTCATGCAGCTATCTAGTTTTGAATTTCTTGCCAATTGTAGACACTGTCCCTCTTGAGAGCTAAAAAGCAGACAATTTGTTATTTGGTTCAAAGCTGCTGCAGCTTTTCAGAGGGATTTATTGTGCAGATCTTGTCAAAGCAATACTGTTTACCCACCATTTGTATACAGGAGTACAACAGCACAGTGTGGTTGAGACTACAGGGCAAACATTGTGCTAAGTTAGGTAAGCCCAGTGATGTAAATATGGGGTAATTTATAAAGCTTTTAGAAAAACAAGGTTTATTAATCTGGTAGTGTTTGGAGGTGCAGCTTTTAAATAATTACTATTTTTCACATTGCAGATTTCAAAGAATTTTTGATCAGGATGCAAAGCAAGAGACCATTTTTGAAAACATTGCCAAACCAGTTGCTGGGAGGTAGGATTTCCCATATTTTGTTCAGTGGGCTCGTGGCTTTTCACGTTGTCTTCAGTTCTCAGATAACTGTGGTAGTGTGCTTAAGTATATGAATTATATACTTAGGCTGCAGGACATGTAATGATGATAGCATTAATACCTTCTGTTCCTATAACCATTTGTTTTAGATTTAGATTCTGAGTCTCAAAACAAAACAAAATAACACAGTGAGATAGACTAGCTATTGTTACTCCTATTTGTAAAGATATATAAACCGAGGATCACAGAAATGAAGTGACACTACTCAGGGTTGCATGGGTAGTGGTGGCAGAGTCCTAGGTGATTTTTGGACTGCTAAGTTCAGTGTTCTTTCCTCAGTACAGTACAGTACTTCAAACATACAGTTAGATGGACAAAGGATAGGTATGGGTGGTACCTGAGAGGCTGCCTAATAATGCTGGCCCTGCTCTACCTCAGTGTCATTTCAAAGCTTGGCCCTTTGCTTTAATATATCTAGATAATTCCAGGCTGCTGACTACTAGAACTAAACTCACATGAGAGTACCAAATAAATCAGAGTGCCAATTTATTAATATGTATTGGCAGTCTCCTAGGGACTAAGACACTCAAGCTCTTTGATAAGCACACAGTCCTCTTATAGGGAATCCATTTAGAAAACTACTGCTAATAAGCTTGCTTTCTGATCTGAAATCATTTGGATGATGTTAATAACCTAATGATAATCCCAAGATATATTCATTGTTACAGTTAAATAATGAAAATTATACCTGCTAAATGAACCCAGTTTTCAAGTCTACTCATCAGTACACCCTTTTTAGTGGACATTGCTGGGAACGCAGTGCTACATTTTGTCTCTCAAACTCCTGTTTTATGAATCCTATGCAAACCAAGCCCTTCTCTTTTTAATACAGCCTTCCTTCATTAGGTAACCTACAATCAAGTAGGCTTAAACTATTTTAGAATCCGATAACACCTCTTTAGATAAAATTCAAGTCTCCTTGATTAGATGTCAAACATTTCTGAAATTCCCGTCTTTTTAGCAATCATTTGGGTTGTGTCATTTTTCAGATAGCTAGTTTCATGTGTTTTATTTTTACAGTTCCTAACATCATTCAGGAAGGGAACCTTAAGTTTCTTTTTCATGGATGCCTGGGTTTTCCTTCCGCTACAGACTCTCATGTTGAGCCCACTTTCTCCTCCAGCTACTGCCCTTTTCTTCAGCTTTCCTTTACAGAAAATATCTTTGAAATGGCCTACTATATTCACTACTTCAATTCCTCTCCCAAACCCTGTTCTTATCATGCTTTGGCCTCCACTGCCTCACTGAAATTGTTTTTGTCAAAGTCAACTAGGAATTCTATTTGCTAAATTTAATAATGATCATTTCCCAGTCCTCATGCTATTTGATATGTCTGCCATTTTGACACAGTCGATCACTCCGTCCTCCAAATACTTTCTTCACTTGTCACACTCTCCTGGTTCTCCGTTCCTTCTCAGTTAACTTAGGCGGTTTTAATTGTATGCGGTGACCATTTCCTCTTGCTGTTCCCTCTGTCTGGAATGCTCTTCCCTCAGAAATCTGCATGGTTTCTCCCTCAGCAACTTGAAAGTTTTGCTCACAGCGGCTTTCTCAGTAAGGCCTTCCTGTAGTACCTTATTTAAAATTGCACCTCGTTATCCTTCCCTATTTGACTTTATTTATTTTAGCACGTATCACCATCCGACATTTATTTAATTATTATTTTACTTTAAGTTCTAGGGTACATGTGCTCAACGTGCAGGTTTGTTACATAGGTATACATGTGCCATGTTGGTGTGCTGCACTCATGAACTCATCATTTACATTAAGTATTTCTCCTAATGCTTTTCCTCCCCCTGTCCCCCACCCCACGACAGGCTCTGGGGTGTGATGTTCCCCACCCTGTGTCCAAGTGTTTTCAATGTTCAGTTCCCACCTATGAGTGAGAACACGCGGTATTTGGTTTTCTGTCTTGTGAGACGGGTTTCACCATCTTGGCCAGGCTCGTCTTGAACTCCTGACCTCGTGATCCACCCACTTTGGCCTCCCAAAGTGCTAGGATGACAGGCGTGAGCCACCACGCCTGGTCCTGACATATTATATCGTTTAATTCTATATTAGTTTTTGTGTCTGTTTGCCTCCACAAAAGCAAAGCTCCATGCAGGCAGGGCTTCGTTTTATACACTGATGTGACAAACTCCACGATAACAAGATTTCAAAGATGACAGGCAAGAGCACTTTTATCCAAGCAGCTCACGTTGGCCCTGGTGGGATTTATCTTTTATCAATAAGAAATATTCCTCTTTATCCTTTCTATTACTTTTCTCCTTGTATTCTTTTTTTTTTTTCCTGAAATTAGTTTTGCTATTTTTTTTTCTGTCAGTCTTTGTCTTATCTTTCTCCTTCTCCTAGTTCAACTGCCTTGTGACATTTTGTTTTTAAGAATGGGCCTGATAAATAAAATACAGCTGCTTTTGCCTTTTTAGCTAAACCCACAGTTCTTGATCTTGAATTAGTTACTTTAACCAGTTTATCTTTATTATGATCACCGTAATTTGGAGCTATTCCTCGTATGTTATTTTCTTTCTCCTCTTTTTAGTACTTCCTAATTTTTTTCCTTTCTTGCTTTTTGTTGGTTTGACTGTTGTTGCTGCCTCCATTTTCTTTCTCAAGTTGTGCATTGTACTTCAACAGCTCTAGTTTAAATTCAGATATTTAAACATTTGTATTTTTCTCAACATCAAAAACTTTGTCTCTGTCTCTGTCTCGCTCTCTCTGTCTTCTCTCTAGTCAAGAATGTTAGGATACTTTTACTTTGCCTCTCCTACACCTCTACAACTTTCACTGTGGAGATCAACTGATATTTATTAACATTTATTTTCATTATCTCAAAGTTATACTATTTCTTTGTCTATCACTGTTTCTTGTATTCATGTCTAATTCTTAGATTCCTTTTGGTAATCATCCTCTAATAACCTCTTAGAAAAAATTCAGGACTGGGGAACTTTCTGAAGTCTTTCCTTTCCCTTCACAGTTAAATGAGCCCAGGAGTTCAAGACCAGCCTGGGCAACATAGTTAGATTTTTGTCTCTATAAATAATTTTAAAAATCAGCTGGGCGTGGTGGTGCATGCCTATAGTTCCAACTATCCAAGAGGTTCAGGTGGGAGAATCACTTAAGCCCAGCAGGTTGAGGCTGCTCTACCCGGCCATTTGACTGGGTATAGCGCTCTACGCTAACAGTTCCTTCCTCTCAAAGCTGTGAAGATACTGCTTCATTGTCTCTTTGCATACAGGGTTGTTGAAAACATGTCCGTGCCGATCTATGTTTTACCTAAAAGCTTGGGGTGTAGGAAATTTACTTTATGTGCAGTGAGTATTCTGCAAAAATTTGGAAATTCATTGTTTTGTAAGAACATGATGGTTTGGCCAAAATGAATAGAATGTGCCTTGGCAGGAGGACTGGCTATGCTAGGACACAGTCCCTGTAGCCGGTACTGAACAGCTAAGGCACCTACACTACAATAAGGCCAATGAGGTTGGCTTTTGGAAAGCTATTAGTTATTGTGAGCCACCACTTGTTAACCTTTGATTTTACCAGTGATGAACAATATCAGGAGCTGCCTTTCAATTTATAGTAAGAAGATTTCTCTTTTCCTTCACTGTCTTCTTACTATAAAGAGACAGCTACCCTCTCAGATTTGGAAAAAGATGTGCTTGACTACTTTTGCACATATGCTTTTGCTGAGTGGGAGGCCAAGGCTTGATGCAGGGGATTTTCTCATGGCAGAGGGCAGTACCACACTCTCAGTCGTACCAGGGTCATTGCCCAGCAGGACTTTTACCTGTTGCTCTTTAGGAAACGGGCTTTACTGATAATGCTGTGGGTTGCCTAGCTCACCCAGTTCTGCTAATCCAACCAGAGAAGAGATCCTGCTCTTTCAAGACAAGGAGGCCAGAATAGGGAAAAGAGGGCTCACAAAAGAGGCTTAAAAAAAATCTTAGTTATTCACTTCTGTTTACTCATGGTTTTACCTTTTGTGGCTCAAAATATTTGGCATGAAGTCAAATAATCCAATTCTGGGCCTAGCCTGTGACTAACTCCCTATGTGACTTTGAATCAGACATATCACTTCTAAATCAGTTATCCCTTCTGAGAAAGGGGATGCTAATAACACCAAGTTTACAAGGTTGTTTTAAGGATGAAAAGAAACAATGTACTTTACAAGTGTCAGTGCCCTATTCAATGTAAGGGATGAAAAAATTAGAGATCTTTAATTTCTTTGCCACTTAAAAAAACATGCCTACTGACCTCTGGTTCCAGACCAAGATACAGTAGACACACTGCTCTCTATTCCCCTTACTAAGTACAGCTGAATACTCTGGATGTCATATACAAAGAAACATGACTCTGAAAGTTGAAGAGAAGATAGCCTAGGTGGAGACCTCAGGACCTGAGAAGTGACAGAATGGTGAATCCCCTTGGTCTTTTCCCCTCATATATCTGCAAAAAGCGGGGACACTTAACCACCCTGCCCAGATTGGATGCTGGAGAAACCAGACACCCAGAAACACCAGTGGGCTCAGACAAAATCCTCAAGAAGAGTCTACTGTCTCTAGCAAGAGGGCCAGGGGACTGGCAGCCTAGCAAAACAAAAAACTTGTAGATATTAGTTGCCTTACTCCATCCAGATACCATGGAAAAACCCATGACTCCACCCCTATGGGTTTTAAAGAGAAGAGGGCTCTAAGGGAAGTAAGGTTTCTACACTTCTTTCAAACTGGTAAAATGTTAACACCAGTAGATCTCTATAGTGATGGAATAGTTCTGTATTTTGATGGCAGTGGTGATTGCTTGATTCTACACATGTGAGAAAATGGCATAGAACTATACACATACATTGTACGAATGTCAATTTCCTGGTTTTGAAAAGGTACTACAGTTATGGAATATGTAACCACTGGGGCAAACGGGGTACAGAG